ACCAAGACCGCCGTGCTTGTCGATCAGACTGGGAAGGTCAAGCTCTCCTTGCAAGGCCTGGGGGATCTTATCACAAAGCTTGGATAGAACGAGTCCAGAGGGCCCGAGGCTATCAAGCATATCTATCGCTGGCGGTTTCTCCTGCAAATCGAGGGGCTGCAAAAGCGTTTCGAGGGCTTTGGTATGCATCTTAGATGGAACCAAAGGCCGGATGTTGGCCAAACACCAAGCAGAACCCTGAGCAAGAATGCGGGCCTTTTGAGACTGAGCCATGCTGGCTGGCTCATCTGGCCTGAGATGACGATTGAATTGTTGCTGTGTCATCAGATCCAGAGTAGGGACATTGCGCAATGCATATACGAGTTCCCGTTCCGCGCGGGTTGTCACCGGCAACGGCACACTGTCCTGAACCGGAGTCATGACCAAGCCCTCAATCTGCACGATTGGAGCTGAATTTCCATCACAGCAAGCCCAGACATTGTGCTCACTGGCCTGCTTCGCCAACGTCCGCTCAGATCGAGACCCGAAGATCTCGAGCTTGTCCCCGGATTTGGTCTTGCCCTGCCGCTGGATGGTGATGCTCTTGATGAATGTTGGCAGAGAGGCCCCGTGAAGCCCATTGGTCCCTGCTCCCAAGGTGAGCCAGATGACTTGAAAGATAATATCCAAGGTTACAGGGTGAATTTGAGTGTCTGTCGCATGGTTATGGGGCATTGCAGCAACGACATCTGGAACCAGAACCATCGCCTTGCCGCGGCCCCCGCCGGAGGTGCAGTCATGCAGCCCCCGGAACAGAGTCCCATAATCTACCCCCCACCTGCGGAGCTCCTCATATAGGTAATCTCTGTCGACTACCGACCTGCAAGGATCTCCAATGTCCGAAAGGGATCTGGCAAACAACCCAGCTCTGTCGGCGGACAGACGAGCGCCATTGACTGGATTCGACACGGTAGACTGGACGGAGATCAAACCGCGACAATTCTCTTCCCACCCGCGCTCTTCGGCCCATGACATGACCCGGAACTCTTTCCATGCGCTGGAAGACTGAGTCGATCCCTCCGGGCGGGGACGTAGGGATATGACGACCTCCACAGGAACGGAATCCGGGACTAGAAGACCTTTGCCCACTGAGATCTCCGCCAAGGATACATCATCATAGCTAGTTCTGTGCTGCATAGCCTCTTGGAGGGCGGCTTCGATTGCCATGGCTACAAAGCCGGCAAAGGGGAACAGATTTTTATTTTGGAACCGGTGCTGGCGAATCCAAGGGTGGTCGTCGGCGCGCAGCAAGACGCGCCACTGCGGCTCCAGGTCATTGCCTTCGGCCAGACGAAGGCCGATCAAGTCATGCCGGGGAGCCTGGGGTCGGAGAACGTTTTCAGCAACTCGCGACTTGCGCCAGAACCGCTTCGAGTGGTCCCAGGAGTAGGGCGGGAAGTCTTGAAGGGTGTCCGGCAGATTCGCCATCGAAGGCTCTCTGTGGTTCACGGCACAAACATCGATTGGTACTCCTCGGGAGAACAAAGAAGCAGCAAGATCGTGCACCATTTCCCCGGCGTCGTGCCGGCGACGGAGGGTAGGGAAGTACTCGACCTTGCTGCCGTTACTCAAACTTTGAAGGATATCCTTGACCGGCCCCTCAAGAGTTGCAGAAGGACCGACCTCAATTAGGCAACTGATCTGTGGTTGGGAGGTGCCCTCACTTAGCAGCGAAAAGAGCCCGTCTGAAAATTTCGTCGGCGAGACAAAGCTTTCGAGCCAGTACTGGTACTGCAACTCTAAGCCATCAAGTCTACAGCTGCGCGTCGAGGAATAAAATGCCGTGGTGGACTGCGAGGGCTTGACTTTGGTGATCCGACGCTCATACTCGGAAGCGACGAGTTCCATTTGAAAGCAATGGTAACCGACATCAACGGCGAGTCGGCGGTTGAAAAGAGACCGCTTTGTCGCTATCTCCTGGGCCTGGGCAATACCCTCAATGGACCCCGCGATGGTGATGCTATGGGGGCTGTTTAAGCACGCTACTGACACGCGGCCATGGGTCACTTCCTCAATTAGGCGCTCCACTTCGTCGAGGGTTGCTCCGATTACCAGCATCCCACCCTTGGCATCTGGGAACCGATTCCGCAGAGACTCGGCAGCGAGCCCGCGATAATACGCTAGACTTATCGCATCTTGAAGGTTGAAGACCCCAGCGGCATAAGAGGCTGCTATCTCTCCACTGGAATGGCCAATGACCGCCGTTGGATGGATAGACCACGACCGAAGCAAGTTGGTCAAAGCTATCTGGATGGCGGTGGAGGCGGCCTGTCCAATTGATGGGCGCGAAAACTGGCAGGTTTGCTCGTCCCTCGAAAGTTCCTCTTCACAAGAATAAGTTGGGGTTAGGAAGAAAGGCGTGAGTGATGAGGGCCGGCGGACACACCTGTCAAAGAGAAATCGGCGCCCATGGCGGCCAGATGGGCCTCAGCCTCGATTATTGCTTTTTCAAAAACAGGATATATCTCGGATAATCCGCGAGCCATGGCATGCCATTGCGACCCCTGTCCTGTGAATATGAAGCCGATCACGGGGGGTTCACGAGCGCGTCGTGGTCGTACTGTATTTGCTGCGAGTCGATTGACTAGGGTAGTGGCAGAGCGAGCGGAGACCGCATATCTCCACGGCATATTTAAGCTTCTTTTGGACAGCGTGTGTGCTACGCTGTCCATGAAGTGGCTGTCATAGGCCAATGGGTGCTGTTCCACGTAACGAGCCAGAGTTTGAGCCTGCCTACTGACGGCCGTGGAATCGTGGCCAGAAAGTGTGAAGAACCGAAGGGGTCCTCGTTGCGGATGTCGCTTGCTGTTGTGCGATTCGATCATCGACAAACAATTTCCGTTTCTCGCAGGCGCCTTAGTCAGGATCACATGTGCATTGGTTCCTCCGAGTCCGAAGTTATTGACGCTGGCGTAGGGCTTCCCCTCAGGCCATGCCACCAACCTTGTCGGCACCTGCAACAGAAAAGAGACCACTGTTAGCTGCATGTCCTGATATGTACACCACACTCATCTCACATGGCACGGAGTGAGGTTGATAGAAGTATTATACCTGTAGATTCCATTCTTCCAGTGGGATATCTGACCGCGCGGTTTGGAAATCACAATTGGGCAGGATGAAGTCCTTCTCCAACATCAAGACCGTCTTGATCAAGGAGATCACTCCGCTCGCCCCTTCCGCATGGCCGAAATTCGATTTGATCGACCCGATCCACAGCGGTTCCGTGCGTCCGCGGCCGAAGAACTCGTACAAGGCGCGTGCCTCCAAGGGGTCTCCGACCCGGGTTCCGGTGCCATGCGCTTCCACATAGCCCACCTCCAGTGGATTAATCCGAGCTGCTCGATAGAGGTCTTCCATGAGGGTGCGCTGGGCCGCGCTGTTGGGCACACCGACCCCCTGGGTGTGGCCGTCTTGGTTCATGCCCGTGTTCATCACCACGGCTCGAATGGGGTCGCCATCACGGATGGCGTCGTCGAGGCGCTTCAGCACTACACACCCAGCCCCTTCACCTCGTCCGTATCCGGATTCACCTCTGGAGTCAAACGGATAGCACCGGCCAGAGTCCGAGAAAAGCCTTAAGGTTCTCGGTGTTAGAAAAGACGCCTCTGCGCGGCTAGCTCGATGAAGCATATGAGACTAGGAATGAAGTTCCACGATGGACATACCGTGAGAGCGAGAAGGAGATGAAGGAGTCCGGCGTCAGATTCAAGTGGCAGCCCCCAACAAGCGCATGGGTACACTCCCCGCTGCGCAGGCTCTGACAGGCCAAATGCAAGGCGGACAAGCTCGACGAGCATGCGGTGTCGATCGTCACACTGGGCCCCGTGAAGTTAAAGAAATGCGAGATGCGATTCGACAGGAACGAAGCCGCGCACCCGCTAACTTGAAAGCTGGTCGTACTCTGTAGGTCGCGGAAGCTGTGCAGCTCATAGTCACTCGCGGACCCGGCGGCGAACACCCCGACGCGCTCCCCATCCCCCAGCCTCGAGGAGTACAGCCTACGTACGAGATTGGCATTCTCCAATCCTTCGTACGCGCACTCCAGCATCAGCCGCTGCTGAGGGTCGGTTGCCATGGCCTCTTCCTCGGTCATCCCAAAGAAAGAGGCGTCGAAGCGCGCGAGATCCTCCGACAGGAAGTGACCCCCCTGCGCATGCGTCGTGCCCGCTCGGTCTGGGTTGGGATGGTAATACGCCCCAGGGTCAAATCGGGATGCTGGGGAAATGGGCGACCAGGCGCTGCGGGCCTGGCAGCAAAATCGCCAGAACTCAGCTGGGGTCCGCACCTCGCCCGGCAGACGACATGATACCCCCAGGACGGCAATTGGGATGGGAGGTGGTGGCGGTATGGAGGGGGCTTGAGAATGCATGGCTCGTTATCTGTCAGAGGTTGCAATGAAATATCAGTGGCACAGGATAGAGGAACTTGGCCGTGAGTTGCTGAGCGCAGGAGCAGCTCGGATAGTAACTGAGAGGTGGAGTGGTGAGAAACAACCCCAATATACCATGAAAATGTGGTCACCCTCTCTGAGAGTCTATCCATCGACTTTTCCTGGTTACCCACTCACCCCATTATGACAGCTACCGGACTCTTGTCAGGTTCAGTCCGCAATCTTTAGTCTCCACTTCCGATATGCACAGAGAGGCGCAGATCTGGAATAGCTCACAGTGACCTGCGGAGAGACGCGCATATGACACCGCAGAACACGGAAGGGCACTGTAGAGTACAGGATAGTGTGCCAATAGTGGCCGATCTTCTAGCAGCCGCACGTCTCGTGGACATACCGAGGAATTGGAAGATGCGACCTGTTACCTTTGAAAGATTAATCCTGCATCGTGACATTTTATGAATATGATCAAATCCTGGGCGAACGGCCTTTTCTGTCCTCCACTCAATTCACACCTCGAAGCCTGCCTCCTGTCCCAAAGTAACCCTAGGGCTGCTTCTCGAAGGCTTTCAACATGGTGACCGCAAAGTGGCAGATTGGGGACTGGGTTGCAATGCGAATGCAACAGCTGGGGGTAGAAGATTACTTTGTCGTTCCTGGTGAGTGTTGCCGGTACACATTCGTTGACCATAATTCACCCTCCCTTATCTCTTTCCATTGCGTCTGGCTGTAATCTGATTCTTTGTGCACAGGCGACTTCAATCTGGACTTTCTGGATCAGCTGCTCCGATACCCCCAACTTCGCATGATCAACTGCTGCAACGAGCTGAATGCCGGGTACGCCGCAGATGGCTATGCGCGCACCAGTGCCTCAGGGATCGCGGTCGTGGTCGTCACCTACATGGTGGGCAGTCTCTCCCTGCTGAATGCGATCGCAGGCGCCTACTCCGCGGGGCTCCGGGTGATTGTCCTCTGCGGAGGACCCCCGAGTACCGTCTACAGCAGCCCGACAATTGTCCATCACTCCTTGGGACTAGCCGACAAGGGACAATCGCTCCGGATCTATGAGCAGGTGACTTGCCAGGCCATCCGGATTGGTTCGGACTGCCCGTGGGAGGAAATTGATCGGACCTTGGACGATTGCCTTCGCCATCGCCGGCCCGTGTACATCGAGGTGCCCGTCGACATCGCCAATCTTCGCTTCGACAAACCGGTCTCTCCGGAAAGGTGCTTAGCGAACCTCCGCAGCATCAAACCTGAAGACTCACTGGAGAACGCCACTACTGCAGGGGCAATCGAAGCAATTCAGGACTGTTGGTCTTCCGCCAAGTGTCCAGTCATCATCCTCGGTGGCGGCATACGGTCTGTTTTGTCGGTGCAGATGATCGATCGATTGGTGAGCACCCTCGGCTGCGCCGCGTTCTATCTGCTGGACGGCAAGTCCTTGATATCGGAGTCACATCCACAATGTGGCGGACTGTTCTGGACGATTGTCTCCGATCCAGGCGTGGAGGACACCGTCGTCCGGGATGCGGACCTCTGGGTGACCATTGGGTGCCAATGGAATGATCTGCACACGCTGAAATCCGTGGATGTCTGTCAAGAGGCCGGTCGCATTCTTGCCATCGAGCGGACAGTTGTCCGAACGCCGCACGGGCGTGTCATTCCCAACACCCCCATCGCAGGACTTGTTGAGGGCCTGGTCGCGTCGAGCAGCATTTATCAAAAGCCGGCTTCGATGACCTGTCTTCAAAGGAACCGTATGCCCTCGCCAGCTTCCTCCGTCAGCAGCAAGAGCATCACCGTCACAAACAGTCATGTGCCGTTGCCTTTGACAGTGGACGATATCGTTGCGGGAATCACATCGGTCGTCACCAGTCAAGACACCGTATTTGCTGATGCAGGCGAGAGTTGGTTCACCGCCAGCCAGGTGCGTCTGCCCTCCGGTGCAGACTTCCAAACCCAGCTCCTCTACTCTTCCACCGGCTGGTCTCTGCCCGCGGCGATGGGATGTCAACTCGCGAAGAAGAAGGAAACCCACGGTCGCACGATCCTCGTCATCGGCGATGGCAGTATGCAAATGACCGCGCAGGAGATCAGTACGATGATCCGATACCGCACCCCGGCTGTTATCTTCGTCATCAACAACTACGGTTATCAGATTGAGGTATGATCGGGGTCCTCCCAATCGAGCTTTTTTGGCGAAGGCTTTTGCACCGCTGGACGAATTCTGGTGTGTGTTCTAACTCAGATCTTGTTGTAGGAAGCCATTCACTGCGGCCCCTATAACCAAATTGGAGGGTGGGATTACACCGCGTTTGCCGAGTCCTTGCAGGATATCAACAGCAATAACTCGAAGAACATCGACGGACCATTCCGTCTGGTTACCGCCAAGGTCAAGACCCAGGACGATCTCACCACCGCCCTCGCTCAGCTGCGCCGTGCACATCAAGAACTGGTTCTGGTGGAATGCTGTGTGGACCCGACGCGAGCCAGTGCGCCGATGAAAAAGTTTGGCGCGAAATTGGTGACCCGTGCGGGTCCGCAAGGAATCGCGGTCCCAGGAGAGCGGGACGCAGGATCCACTGTCTCTCTATGAGTGGGGATGATAGATAGTTCATCCTTAATACGGCTTCGCATTTGGTATATTATTCGGATTGCACTGCGTCGTGATAGGTCACATTGCAGCGTCTCATGTAGGTTCTCGGCATCGGACCCAGCTGACACCATGCAGCGAAGGCTCTTGTACATCAGATGGCGTGCTGATCTGTCCGGATTTAGGGGTATCGATGCCGGTTTGATCGGTTCATAACCTCCATGTATCGGCACAGATACGTGTATATGACCTGCCTTCGGGATGCCATAATGTCTTTTCAGGTTTCTTTTCGATTGGATGCGTCATATAGTGGTCAAAGCATAGGAAGCTTTCACTGAAAATGGGATATGTAGACTGATCTGCCGATTCGGCTTTTCGGTGCGTCTTATACATCCGATTTGATTTCACCTCCATTTGGGTTTTCTCCCACTTCATATGAAGTTTATCTTGAGGGCGTAGGTAGATAGCGTCCATATCAGTAAGGATTGCCGATCGGATACCTCGACATGACGGGAATTCTAACAAGGTTTGGGGACTCGGTGATCCGGAGGGCTTTGACTTCGTGAACGGATTAGACGTGCAGAGCTATCTGACCTATGGAAGTTAATTGTGTGCCCGTCAACATGACTATAAGTTGGCATCACTTGGAGTGAGCACAAAAGTATCCCTCCCCTGTGACTTACCCAAGACCATCTTCTTTACCCAACGCAAGAAACCATGAGCCTCCCGACACCACCATCACCACTTCTCTCCGACACCTACGATGCTAATCAAAAAGGTCCCACCAAGAGCCTGGGCGAGCTATTCGCTGACATCGCCCGCCAACTCCCCGACCACGAGGCAATCGTCGCGCTCCATGGGGTCGATCGTTTGAAGATTGGAGATAGCGAGCCGGCGTCGAGCGTGATCGGAGAGCAGCAGTATGCTGTCCGGTGGACCTTTGCTCAATTACACGATGCGAGTTGTCGTCTGGCAACCATCATATCTAATAACGGCCTGCGCCCGGGCGACCGTGTGATGACCTTCATGTCCAACGAAGCTGAATACGCGCTGCTCTTCTGGGCAACAATAAATTTGGGCTGTCAATTCGTGCCGATGGACCCGCGGGTACTCGATCACATCACCGACGAGTCGGTTCAACTCCTTGAGCGACTTGATCCCGCGGCCATCGTGGTGTCGAATCAGACCATGGCGATACAGGTAGATGAGGTGGTAAAGAAAACGGACAGCTGCCGTCATCGTCGTTGCGGCGATAGGCGGCGGGAAATCATCAAGTACAGCCTTGGGGAATGCCATGAGGCTACTACTGGGGACTGGAAGGTGTTGACAGCCGCAGAGCTGGAGGCAGCAGGCGGCTGCAGCAAAGCATGTCCAACTTCTCGCCCCGTCAACGAGACATGCCTCATCCTCCTCACAAGCGGCACCGAATCCTTGCCCAAAGTCTGCGCACATACGTCAATGACTGTTGGCGCGCCCGCCCTGACCCTCATGGAACAATGGAAGCTGCGGGCTGGGGAGGACGTCCTCTGCCAACATCTCCCGAACTTTCATATCTTCAGTATCTTGCTGCAGGTCAGCTTTTGGCTGGCAGGCGCGACAGTGCTGATCCCGAGTGCGGCGTTTGACGCGGCCAAGTCCCTTGACGCTTGCTTCTGGTGCCCTCAACGAGTCCATGTTGCATGCGTGCCTACAATGCTTCGGGCGTTGGCTGCTGTCTGGGAAGGCGAAGCAGCGCCGCTGGCGGGAGCAGAGCGACGATCACCATATTCAATCATTCTAGGCGGTGCCCCGATAACCCAGGATAGCTTGGAACTTGGCAAGGGGTTGGGTGCCCAGCACGTGGTTGCTGGTTACGGCACTACCGAGGGAGTGGGAGCACTCATGAACACAATGAGTGTTTCCACCATCGTAGGGAGAAAACAAGGAAAAGCAACTGGAAAAAGTGATGGTGATGGTGATGATGTTTCCCTGGGCAAGGTTCAATCGGGCGCCGGGATCCGTATTTGCGGTCATCAGAGCCGAATGCCCCTGCCACGTGGACAGGTCGGCGAAGTTCATCAAGGCGGCCTCCCATTGATTGCTGGGTACCTGGACGCCACATCCAGTGAGGCGAATAGCTCCTTCTACGAGCGCAACGGAGTCACTTGGATGGCGACAGGTGACCAGGGATACATGGACACGGAAGGTGCGGTGTATATCTTAGGAAGATATAAAGATTTGATCATCCGTGGGGGGGAGAATATTTCGCCTTGGAGAATTGAGCAACATCTCACTCGATTACCAGGCATTGCGGTAAGTGCAAGCAGATCATACGCCCTTCCTAGTTTGTCGGAGCACTGCGGTTGCAGATAGTACTGACATTTCCATGCTTCTCGATGTTAGGCCGCATCAGTAGTCGGGGTGCCTGATACCGTGGCCGGCGAAGTCCCTGTGGCTGTCATTATCCGAGATAATAACCATCCCGAGCCCCATATGACTACGCAAGAGATTCAAGATGCGGTTTGCAGGAACCTAGGCAGGGCTTTCTCGCCATATCTGGTCCTATCTTTGAACGATAACCTAGGACATGATCGATTCCCCACGACAAGGACCGGTAAAGTGCGAAAGGCTGAGCTCCGTGGATGGGTGGAGGACTACCTAACGGAGTCTTCAAAGGAGCTCCAGGCATCTCAAGGCCCTGAGTCCGGCACGGCGCTAGAGGATCTCACTAGGTGTCTCGCGCGAATCGCCGGAATCAGTACGAACCAGATTGACTGTGACATCCCGATTCGTGCCTATGCGGATAGTATCATGATCATGCAGTTCTTCCATTTGGTGCAGCAGAAGGGTCTCGGTCGCCTCACGCAGCAGGACCTTGCCCATCACAGCACCATTCGTAAGCAGGTCAACCTGTTGCAGTCTCGCAAGTATCAGACGAGTACCGGAAGCATTTCGCCAGCTGGAAATTCGGGCAATAGCGGATGGACATTGTCATATTATGACCAATGTCTTCAGCTGCCAGATCTCGAAGAGAAGGTCCTCCAGAAACTGCAGCCTCTGGGGTTTGGCCCGAGGGATGTCGAAAGCGTGATTCCCACGACAGACTACCTACAGCGCTTCGCACGGGACCAGTCCCGGTCAAATTCGTGGAGTATGCGGGCGGCCTGGCTGGCGCAGGATTCGTCACTCACCCCCAACGAATTGGAATCTATCCTTGAACTCTGGATCCAGCGACATCCCTTGTTGCGAGCGACATGCATCACCTACGACGAAGAACGGGAATTGTATCTCGTGATGCATCCGAGTGATCGATGGTTGCGGCTGCAGATCAGCCATGATGACCTAGTGGTGGAGAATGCGCAAGCGCTGCAAGACTATCGAATGAATGATCCTGCCTTCGACTGGGTGAACGTAGCCACTGGACCGCCGTTCAAGGCGACAATCCTAAAGACCCGGGAGGGCCTCGCCGGAGTTATCATGCACTTTCACCACGCTGTATTCGACGGGTTCTATCTGTTCTCGCTGGCCCGTGACTTGCAGGAGCTCCTCAGAAGTACAGAGAGTCGAGGTAGCTCTTCCAGCATGATTTCAACGGTCCCGTTCCCGACATTTGCTCGCGCCTTTCATGCATACAGAATGACCCCTGAAGCCCAAAGGTCAGTGGACTTCCACGTGAAGCGGCTTCAAGGTCTGGCCGCGACGCCGAACTCGTTGTGGCCCCCACAGAAAGCGCCAGGGTGGATGAAAGGCGACTGGCAGGACTGGGCTGCATCGTGTTCCGACAGCGGCAGCAACAATTTGTTCGGTCCCCGCGAGGCCCTCGACGGAGACCAAGGCCGGGGCACTGAAGGAATAACGCGAACCCTCCACCTCCCCGAGTTGTCTTCGATGCGGAGGCAGTTTGGGTTCCCGGCCTCGACCATCGCGAAGTGTGCGTGTGTGATGATGAACTGGCGGCTCACGGGGAGCGAAGAGGCCGTGTTCGCCGGAGTTGATTCGGGACGGCATTGGCCCATGGCTCTGGAACCATCGTCGACATCACCCTTATCATCGGATGTTGGTGATGCACTTCGAGTAGATGGTCCCACAATGACCTTCTACGTAAATCGGATCGGTCAAGCCCCCAACGAAACTGTGTATCAGCTCCTGTCTCGTGTTCAAAGCTACCAGGAGGAGTTGTCGGCCCACGCGCACGCCCCGCTCAACGACATCAAGGCCCGATTGCGTGCGGCTGGCACTTCTGGCGCCGACGACTTGAGGGTGGCTGACGACGTCCTGCATCGCCAATCTTTCAACTGGCTGCTGGAGCAGTACGAGTCTTCCGCCGATGACAAAAGCGATCGACTCCGGCTGATGGATAACATCTCACGCACGGACCTGGGCTTCATGTGGTATCCGAGCTTGGGACCGGGAGATGTTCTGTCGTTGAACGTGACGTGGGATGATGCGCAGTTGAGGAACCACGAGGTCCTGGATATCACGACGGAGTATATGTGTGCGGCCGCCTGGATTGCGGATCCCGCCAATGTCAATCGATTGGTTTCGGAGTGTCCTTTTGCAGGTGACTATGCTATCACTTACTGGGTTCCTGAGAGGATCAGACGGTAAAGTCTGTTTCGAGGCGGGAGATATATTAGGGATTCTTGGGGTTCTTAGGGGTCGAAGGTATTGCTATCAGAATTCTTTAGAGAGTTTTGTTTCTATTCTTGAGTAAGGATTATTAGAGTATATCTCAATACTGGTATATATCAGTCCGTGTTTATACCCAGTATAAAGTGCGTATAGCTTCCACTGCCTACTATATAAGACTTACCTTCGATAGATTTGTGCAGTCGTAGCAGCAGTCTAGAGTCTTCAATAGAGAGCAATAGACAGACGGAGGAAATTCCGCAGTTGACTAAAATTTCGGGGTATGTGACTTGTGTTACCCGTAGCGATTCTCAAAACGTACACCGCGACTGGAAAAAATAAGTGATGATTTAAGCGACATGCCTGGTTGATGATAGCCTGGAGATTGAGAGGATAAACAAATGGAAAGGCGAAGGCGTGCGATCATTGTCACGTGATGAGATCTTTCATCCCGCCCAAGTCCCAGTCCGAGTCCCCTCCACTGCACTCACTCACTACCTACCCTGGAAGTGTGCTTAAATCATATCATGATTCCATCTTCTTGCAGCATCCATTCATAGGAAGGTTCTGTCAAGCACGACTGGCCATTCGAGACGAACATGCCCGAGCGGCCCCTCTTCAACTTAAGTTTATATATCATGCCTATTTCACGAGGACGGACGCGCCTACACTTTGCGCTTCAATCAGACAACTGTTCAAACAAACAAGTATCCCCAACAGAATAACAATGTCACCAAGGGTCTTTTGTCTCCATTCATACAAAAGGTTGCTCTATGCGATGAGTGTCCTAGTTCCTGTAATTGGCCCCTACACGCCGATGCTTACTAGCAAGAAAGAGCTTGGTCAATTTCACGATTGTGTCTCTGTGGTCTCCGTTATCGATCAAGCACCCCGATCCATATTCTACCTGATTTATCCAGAGTCATCCGAAGCCCAGGTCTCAATAACTACTCAGATTGATGTCTCGCCACTTTCTCTTAGTCTTTTCCGCATAACTTTCCCACTGATGGTGCGTGGGAGCGACTCTGCGCTCACAAACTCAAACAACTGAGGGCAGCAGTGCGCTGCTTTCCGTTGCAGGCAATGCTCACGCAGCTCCTGTGTTAGTCGTGAGTGGGTAGTAGTCGTGGGTATCGGATGCGCATCGCGCAGCACCACAAAGGCCTTCATGCAGGTGCCACCTCGCGTGGGATCGACCGTGCCCACAACGACAGCCTCCAACACCCCAGGATGGCTTTTAAGAACCACCTCGACTTCTACTGGACCTGGAAAGATGCTTATATTGAGTACCCATTCTACACTGGCTTGGAGTGAGTGAGTTGGTAGGTGACTTACCAATGCGGTGTCCCGCTGAATTGATGACATCGTCGCCACGTCCCACATACCACAGATATCCTTCGTCATCGTGATACGCCCGATCGCCCGTCACGTACCAGGAAGTGCCTTCATCATCAGTAACTAATGGTCGACGAGTGGATCCATCGGACTGAATATAGCCATCGAATAGGCCCAAAAAGCTGGTCTGCGGCCTACATGCTTGTTGGTGGATGGGAGCGGAAGTGGAGAAGACGCGCACGGCAATATCCCCTTCCTCAAATGGATGAGCAAGCCGGCGGTTGGCATTCAAAATGGCGAGAGGCACCCCTGGGAGTGGCTTGCCCATCGATCCGAGTTTTGGGGTGATGGCAGGCGAATTACCGCACAAGATCGAGGTCTCGGTTTGCCCGAAACCGTCGCGGATGACGATCCCATCGGTGTTCTCGGCCCACTTCAGGATTACCTGAGCCTCGAGGTTCTCGCCGGCGCTGGTGCAGTGCTCCAGGGCCCGCGGTGGTTGGTCGACAAACTTCTGCGCCAATTCACCGCGGACCATGAGCCGATAAACGGCGGGCGCCGTGCAGAAGGTGGTGATGGGGAAGTGGTGCAGCAGGTCGATGGCGCGCTCGGGCTCAAAGGGCCCCTCATCGCCATCCAGGAACAAGGCTGCTCCCTGACCCCACGCGCCAAAGAAGGCCCACAGGGCTTTAGCCCATCCTGTGAGAATGAACAATTCGATGTTAGCCTATTTGACACCTTTCCTGAATGTAGCCGCAAGTGGGTTGTAGTTTGCAAATCACCTTGGTCAGATGTATTAAAAAGCAGCTTTCCCGGGCAAAGGTCCAACCAGTCCTTTCCGGTACGTATGTGGGCTTCAGGACACAGTCAGCAAGCATAACATCAAGCCAACTTCTCTTCCCATCCAGTACACCAAACACCTACCATACGGATATGACAAATGCGTATGCCTCACCATCTTCGGTTCACCAGTCGTCCCCGAAGTGAAGTACAACAAGCATGGGTCAGTTGCAACAGTTGTCGGCAGATTTGGCGCCGCTCCTGCATGCACGCTTGTCAAAAGTCGACTATATGTCATCACCTTGGGATGGGGAAACACTACGTCCCCATTTCCAAGCTGGATAATCCTCCTGCTCCTTGAAGGCTGGGAAGGTGCATCCGCCCATGCTAGCACGTCTTCTGTAATCCGCCCAGAACTGGCCACAATGGCCGATGCATTGGTCATTTGCGCCCGCTGGGATACCTCCGCAGGCATCAAGGCAGCCGAGCATGGACAAACCACCACACCTGCCAGCATGCATCCACAGAGCATCTCATACCAATCTGGGGCTCTGCAGGACATCAGGAGAATGACATCTCCTTTGTTAATTCCGCTCGCCTGCAAAGCATGTGCAACCTGGTGAGCCCTCTGCTCAAAATGACTGTAGTGGAATTCTTGAGCTTGGCCTGGGCCGTCAGACCCCGATTCGATGTATACCATGGCCAGCGGATCACCACCCTTGTTGCTCCAGTGGCTCAGCACATGTCGGGCAAAGTTGAACGACTCGAGGTTGTAGCTCGGCTGGCTGATGGGGACTGTCATGATTTCAACGCTGATGATAGCTGCTTCGTTTGGGGTAATCATCAGGAGGATTCCTACCGGTACTGGTGGGAGGCACAGAGTATGTAAAACCTGGCTCTGTCTTAGGGGACACTACGGCGGGGAGCAACACCAAGCCAAGCGGCCACCGATCGCCTGGCACACAGCGCTCATCAAGACATTTGTCGGCTCAAACCTTACCTGGCGCAGCGTAGTGCGGGTGAGGCGTCACATATGAGCCGATGGTGTGATGTGAATTATTTCTCCCATTGAAGATCTGCGGCCGCAGAACAGCCCGCTCCCTCGAAGAAGCAAATTGATGGAAGATTATTGACGGGTTCGAAAGACTACAGAGACCCGATAGGAAAGCATGCAAGCCAACGCAGACAGCCTCCAGTGAACAGGTCAGATTTACGGCACTTACCGCTCCCTGAGGCATCGGATGGCTAAAGCCTGAAATTGAATTCGCCCCCGACACCAAGACACGTCAGATTGCGCCGTCTGTCAAGCTTGAATAGAGACTCTTGGAAACTATTGGTAGATAGTCTGAAAGTGTCAAACATGCAAGAGGAGTGCATAAGACATGGAACTGCAAGGAACAAGTATGTCTAGCCAAGCATTCCTGTCTTTCCAAGATGATCGGCGCGGGTCAGGGGCAAGTCTCCTGGCATGTCAGAGGGAACGGCACGCGTGGCTTGAATTCCTAAGAGTGGATAGAGCAATACAGTCTGTGGGTAAAAGAAAGGCTGTGGCCTGAAACTCCGCGTGGCCCTCGAATGAGCCTCTTCTGCTCAACAGCATGTCGCTGGCAGCGCGGGATATGGCTTCAAAGACATGCCCCATCAGTGTGGAGAACCATTTGGGACCCGTGGTGAGTGGATGCGGGGATAATGTCGACTTCACCTTGCTGTTCGAGGATGCGGTGCTGTTGCTGGCGCCTGCTGTGCTGAGCATCCTCGTCGGGGTGTGCCGTGTGGGCAATCTTCGAAGCCGTCCCCAAAAGGTCCGCGCAGCTATAAACTATTGGGTCAAAATGGTAGGCGAAAGATTCGCACCTCGTCTTGCAACGAACACTAGCTGACTTTAAATCTCGTATCTAGGTCTTTCACGTCATTCATATCCTCCTACAACTTGTCTCACTAGTCATCTGGACTCTCCCATCGACTCCGAAGACCAGTCTCTCCCTTCCGGCCTCGGTCGCATCTCTTGTCGCTGCCATCACAGCCGTTCACCTCTCCCACTTGGAGCACTTTCGCTGCCTCCGTCCTTCCACATGTCTCGTTCTGCATTACCTGGTCGTTTGGTTGCTCGGGATTCCCCGGGCACGCACACTGCTATCTGTCTCGGGACTTGAGACCCTGGCGTCAATTCACATCGCATCTTTGGTGGTGATCTTTGCCCTAGTCATTCTAGAGTCCATGGAAAAAAAGCACACAAGTCTACCTCATTGCCGCCCAAAGTCACTGGAAATGGGGGCGGGCGCCATTAGTCGGAGTCTGTTCTGGTGGCTCAACCCGCTGCTTTTGCAAGGGTGTAGGGGAACGCTCTTGATGCGCGACTTATTGAAGATCGATGGCTCTGTTTGCGCCGACGAAACGGATCAGGCTCGGCTAGTTATGGGATGGGCACGGTGTAAGTGTCTCCAGACTGGGTGAAAGAACAATGGCTTCTGACATGGCTGTTACCAGGTAGAGAACAAGGCAAATGGTATCACCTATTATTACCTCTGTTCCAGATGTTGAAGTGGGAGCTTCTTCGGGGTGCCATTCCCCGGCTGGCTCAGGGAGGGTTTCTGCTGTCGCAGCCCTACTTGATCAAGCGGGCCATCATCCTCTTTGCTATGCCGGACTCGACAACCAACTACAAGAAAGGCCTGTTGCTTACGGTGGCGTTCGCGCTGGCCTTCGTCGGCATCGGGGTACGTGAGACCCGTCCATTTTGCTTTCCTTTATGGCTCACTGTGGAATTTAATACTATCTTACACGATAGGTGGCTACTACACGAGCACGACACCATTCGAATCGCCTCGCGAGCAAGCTACGAGGTGTCCTCATAGCCATCGTGTACGATAAGGTGTTTGAATTGCAACTGCAGCCGCATGATGTCGCAGCCGTAACGACAATGATCACCACACACACTGAGCGGATCACGACCGGCATGCAAATGATCCAGGATACGTGGGGTTGCTTGACCGAAGCTATCCTCGTGGTTTGGCTACTTTCGGATCCGCTACGTATAGCAGATTTGGCGCCTGTAATTATTTCTCTGGGTGCGTATTCTTACTTGCTGAGGTTTATTCTTGATTGCCGGGTCCTTGCATTAACGACCTGAGAAAGTCTGCGTGGTGGCCGTTGCCGGTGCAGTTGGCTATCTAGTCCAAAGGCAGACTTTGTGGTTGCAGGCTATTAAGACTCGGGTCGGGGCCACGACTGCGATGCTCAAAGCAATGAAATCTATCAAGATGTCCGGAATGGCGCGGACGTTGTCCGAGCAGATGAGGTCCTTTCGAGACAACGAAGTGCGACGCTCTCGCGGGTATCGGATGCTTCTCACTGTGATTACACTGCTAGGTCTGTATGAAATTTTTCCGCCTCATATCACCCAGCTAAATTTTCTAGTGCATGCGAATACCTTTGTCACGCCAGTGGTGGCACTTTCGATGTACAATTTGATTGCCCGCCAGAAAGAATGGACCGAGACGCTCGACAGCGCACGAGCGTTCACTGCCCTCGCGTTTCTGACCATTTTGGCTTCCTCGTTCGTCGGTTTTCTGCAGTCACTAACGGAGCTCTCCACGGCGTTGGGGTGTATCGACAGCATCCGAGTGTTTGTGCTGCAGCCACCCCGTCCGGAGGGTCGGTGCTTGCCAGAAGCGTACGGGCTCATGTTGTTTCAGGATCCGATCTTGTCCAAAGCCAGTCGCTCCGGGCATGTCGTTGCAAAGGACGTCTCCCTTGCCTGGAACGATGGCACCCCGATTTTACAAGACTTTTCCTTTGTGCTCAACCGTGGAGCGCTCGTGATGGTGAATGGGCCTGTTGGAAGCGGGAAGTCCATGCTCCTCCGTGCAATGCTCGGCGAGGTCCCCAAGGTCAGTGGCAAGCTAACCGTGGCAGCTCGTAGTTTCGCCTACTGCGCCCAGGCACCATGGATCGTGTCCGGCACCATTCAGGAAAATATCCGCGGCCCGGGAAATGGCGTGCGTTCCTCGCCGACTTGGTATGCCACCGTTCTAGACGCCTGCGACCTGCATAAGGACCTGGCCAGTCTGCCAGAGGGAGATCTCACGGCTGTTGGGGGGCAAGGGATAGGTCTAAGTGGGGGTCAACAACAGCGATTGGTATAGCCCTACCTTTCTTCCACTAACCCTAAGCTAACACACGCCGGATGGAATTTGTCACCAGGCTCTGGCACGAGCAATCTTCTGTCAAGCCGATCTTGTGCTCCTCGACGATGTCATGAGTGGTTTGGACCCGGCCACAGAGGAGCACATCTTCCACCGAGTGTTGGGACCCCATGGTTTGCTCAGAACCGCCGGGGTGACTGTTGTTGTGGCATCCAGTTCACGTATGTTTTGGTTTCTATACCCCCGCATCTCTTAGTCTGCATAAACCATAACGTAACAGCTGCTTTGACTCGACTATCTAACATTGTTTTTTTGAAATCACAGCTCGCTGGCTTGCATTTGCCGATCAGGTGCTTGCAGTAGGTGCGGATGGATCAGTGACAAGCTCGACGCCACGTGTCTCGCCTTATCCCACCATCTCGCATGATAACGCGTCCTCTGTGACTCTAGTGACTGCGGCAGAGGTCTCCGGGGTCGCCTCTCCAGTGCAGGCCGATGAGAAGGAACTCGCAGTGCAGGAAGAACCGGCTCCTGACCGGGATTTGGCGGACATTTCTATATATCGGTACTACTTCGCCACCGCGCCGTCGGCCGCCTGGCTGTTGGTTTACGGCTCGCTGGCTGTGCTAGTCGCGCTACATACTTTTATGTGTAAGCTCTGGACCCCTCTTCGCCGTCACAGCTGGCTGATGTGGTGGTGCAATGCAGCTGTCTGGGTCAAATGGTGGGCCGAGGATAACGACCGAGAACCTAACCACAACCTCAACATGCGAGTTGGGGTCTATTGGCTCCTTGGGGCTCTGGTCGCTGGTTTCTTTGTCTTGACCCCGTGGTATGCATACTTACCTCATTTTGGGAAAGGACGAACGCGCTCACAGTATGCAAGGTGTCTTTGGAGTCTGGTGGCTCCGCGAACCATGGTAGCTCTCCATCGAGATCTTCTCCAGACTGTGCTGAAGTACGCCCCTCGTGTCGTGATTCTGGCTTGCACTCAGAGGGCGTCGCTGACCGAGACATCACAGTGCGCCATTTTCATTTCTCTCATCTTTGGACGCAGGGGAAACGTTGAACCGGTCCGCGACCTCCCCATTTTCAAATTTATGACTGTGGCTCAGGCTGATTCGATCACTCACCATGGCGCAGCTTCAGTCAGGACCTCGAACTCATTGATTTTCAAGTGCCTGAGTTCCTCATGCTGTTCTCTCTTAGTAAGTAACTTTCACGCCGAGGGCAAAGCGCTGCCTCGAGGAAGAGACAACGATACTAACGGAGGACACCGCAAGCTCTACTCATGTGCATCGCGCAGATGATCGTCATCGCCATCCAGGTTCACTACGCGGCCGCCGCGCTACCCGCCTGCCTCGTGGTCTTCTACGTGGTGCAGAGGTTCTACACGCGCACCTCGCGCCAGCTCCGGATCCTGGACCTCGAAGCCCGCGCTCCCTTGCTGTCGCTGCTGCTGGAGACCATCCAGGGGCTCGAGACGATCCGCGCGTTTGACTGGACGCACAGGTACAGGCAACGGTGCCATAAGCTGTTGGTGGAAGCGCAGAAGCCGTTTTACCTGCTGTACGCCGTGCAAACGTGGCTCGCTTTGGTGCTAGATCTCAGCCTGGCCGGGTTCGTCGTGGTGGTCATGGGGGTCGGCGTCGCCAGCCTGGGCAAGATCTCCCCGGCAGCGATGGGCTTGGCCCTCGTCAACATTATCGCCTTTGGCACCTCCGTCAAGCTCTTGACCACCTACTGGGCGTCCCTAGAAACCTCGTTGGGGGCGGTGGCCCGGATCAAGTCGTTTGTGGAACGGACCCCTTCCGAGATTCTTGTGCCTCCTTCGCATGAGTCGTCAGAGCATTTACCGCAAAATTGGCCGGTTGAAGGCTCTGTTGAGTTCCGGGGGGTATCCGTCGCCTACGGGTGAGTCTTCTCCTGTCCTTCCTTTCCGTGCTACCGTCGAAAGATCAACGGCGTTGGGTCTAAACCAGGAGATCTCCTAGTGCTCAATCAACCCATGCCGTGCAAAATATTTCACTATCAATTCCCGCTGGACAGAAATTAGCCATCTGTGGCCGTACAGGAAGGTTTGCCACCCTCAACTCCCCGAGTCACGGTGACAATGAACCACGTGTCGCCTCACAAGGACAGAATAAGTTGCCCTAACGACTGAACTGATATTTTAATATAGTGGCAAAACCTCTCTCATCACCGCCATTTTCGGTATATCCGACCTCACCGAAGGGGAGATCCTCATCGACGGCCGCAGCATCTCGACCATCGACCGGACCTTCCTCCGCACAGCCATCGTCGGAGTGCCCCAGGATTCCTTCATCCTGGAGGGCTCTAGTTTCCGGCGCAACCTTGATCCATTCGATGCACACGGTGACGACACGGTGGTAATGGAAGCATTGTTCACCGTAGGCCTCGGCCATCTCCTCGACCCTACTCTCGGGTTGGACACCGTCATCGACGAGAACACCATGACTCCCGGTCAGAAGCAGCTGCTCTGCTTGGCGCGGGCCAGCCTTCGCCCTGGGCGGGTAGTGGTTCTCGATGAGCCGACAAGCAGGTTAGTAGTGACACTTTCTCCCTCTCTCCTTGGCTTTGGGATACCTCGCACTCTGGGGGGAATCATGGAAGATTAGCAACCGAACTGACTCCACATATCCCACAGCGTCGATGAAGAGACAGAAGCCCAGATGCAATCGATCATCCAGACCGCGTTTTCTGGCCGGACGGTCATCATGGTCACGCACCGGATCCGGGCCGTGATCGAGTACGGGTATGATCGGGTTATCGTGATGCGGGACGGCGAGATTGTCGAGGACGGGGCACCGAGGGAGTTGCTCAACCGCGAAACAGAGGAAGGGGGTGGAGCTGGGGCGTTTCAGGAGTTGTATCTTCGAGAGAGCGGGGAAGGGGCGGGGACCGGTAACCCTGTGATATAGCTCATTCCGATCGCGATATCTCCTCGTTGTGTCACAGGTGGATGGTGACCATTATCATTATAGTACATGTAATACGACGGTTTAGCACCGAACCAAACAGAAGTATCCCAGCGGTCAACGGTTCCGCCTCAGCAATATGTTTAAAGCACACGGGGCCACCAACTTAATTTTTGCCGTCCAACTATCTCAGACTCATCTCTAACCCATGCATGATATCATGGCAAGTGATGCTGTTGCGCCCCAGGACACAACGGCCCCCCCTAAAAACGCTACAAATGATCCAACAGCTGCAGATACCGCAAACACGGCCACGCCGCCGACCCCTCGATAGCGCGCAGCTCCGCCGCCAGTTGCCTCGTTCCGCACCAACACCACACAATGGGCGTGCTCCACCCCGTTGCTCCCGCGGTACCCGATCCGCGCTGCGGCGGGGCGGAGTCCGCTCCCGCTCCTGCTCCTGCCCTCCTCACCCGTCTTCCTGCCCATGCCCATGCCCATCTCAAACCTCACCCCCTCCAACACCCTCTCCTCCCCGGTACGATACCGGACCAACAACTCCACCTTCATGACCTCCTCGATCAGATCCGCATTGAACGCGGCGCCCATGAACGCCTCCTGGGCGTCCCAGCCGCGCAGGGCGGCGATGCCGCGACACCGCAGCCCGAAGTCCGGACAGCGCATGGTGGCGACGCACAGGGCGGGGACGATCTCCGGGCGGGCGGTGACGGCGGGGCGACCCGCGGTGTTGGTCGACTCGGTCACCACCGGAAAGCGGGCGATGGCCGCCTCGGCGGCGGTGAGGACGGCGAGGAAGTCCGGGAGGAGGCGGGGGGGCAGCGGGCGCTCCTTGCTGAAGAGGGCGATCTTGATGGCGAGGAGGGAGTAGAGGCAGGACAGGCGCGTGATGTGGGCTTCGCGGGTGAGCTTTTCGTGGTCCACTGTGATCCGGGGGTGGAGGGTGCGGTGGTAGAACTCGTGGAAGAGGTGGAGGTAGCGGGTGAAGTAGGCGAGGAGGCGGTGCTGGCGGTGGTGCAGGGCGGCGTAGCGGGCGGCGATCTCGGCGTCGCGGAGGTACCAGCTCTCGGCGACGAAGAGGGCCATCGTGTCGAGCAGCGGGGTCAGGATCTGGCGGGCGTGGCCCCAGTCCCGGAAGGCCTGGGCCCCGTGCAGGTAGAGGTCGTGGTAGGGTTGGTGGTAGACGAGCTCCGTGTCGAAGTGCAGCGGATCCTGCGTCCCGTAGAAGATGGCGCACATCTGCAGCCCCACGAACGCGTCCACCACGCATTCCTCCACCCGGTACGGGTTGGGCCCGTTTGCCACGATGAAGGTCAGCCCTCCGCTGCTGCTGCTGCTGCTCTGGCGGCGCACGTTCATCCCCCGCAGGATGTGCAGCCCGCATTGGAGGTGGAAGGTCGCCCGGCTCGGGTTCTGGTGCAGCAGCTCGCACATCACGAACAGCAGGCAGCACGCCAGGATCACCCGCTGGAAGTGCGGGTCGGCCGACTGTCGTCGCTCGTTGAGCTTGCTGATCGCCCGGCTGGCTTGTTCCACGGCGAACAAGTACCATTGGTTCTGGTCACGGCGCCCACGTCTCTGCTGCTGCTGCTGGTGCTGGTGCTGCGGTAGGAAACCCTGTCGCTGCCGCCGACCGCCCTCGATTTCATACGCCTGGTTCACGGCGCCCAATGCGATCACCGCGTGGAAGACGGCGGGTCGTGGTGGCAGAGCTGCAGAATCAGGCGCTGCCAGAGCGGCGAGTCAAAGAAGGCCACCAGATGGGGCACCGAGCGGTGCTGGAAGAACGACAGGCACCGTCGCTCGTCCGAGGTCATCTTCCACGGCAGCGAGATCTGGGCCGCCGGCGCAACGACGCGGCCGACGCGCGCGCGCTCGGGAATCCGGTGCAGCTCATACTCGCACTGCCGTCCGGTCCGCGTGCAGTTGTCACACGCCCCCGGCGTTTCATCGCATTTGACTCGGCGAGCTCTGTTCGATGAGGCTTAGCGTTGAGCATGTAGCATAGTGCATGTACTGTACGTACCGGCAGGTTCGGCACCCGTTGCGGGACCGTCGCGAGAATGCTTTCTTACGCGTGGGCCACGGTGAACTTGTCCAGGTCAGGTTCTGCGTTTGAGGTGCTGGTTCCATTGTAAGGGAAATCTCTGAGATGTCGTCGAATGGCCTTTGCACGAGGGTGGAGGACCGAGAGGTTGAGACTAAGCGGCGTAAGCTAGCCCCAACAGGATTTGACACCGGTGTTGCAGGCAGGTGGGCTTGGGCATTGTAACGCGATGTTGGAGTGGGTTTAGTAAGAAGGTCGCAGGTCATTAATATCCATACTAATTACTTAGTGCTGACGTTCTATGTGGTAGTTACCCTGCTACTTGATACTAAGGCAGCAAGGCTAGACAATCGGGCCAATTGTGTTCGTGACTTGGAGTAATGTGGGTCAAATGAGGAGGTATCCCTGTACACCATAATCTCTGGAAACCCTCTCACTCGTGTGAATATAATTGAGACTCTGATCAAACATGCGTGCACTGAAGGGTCGTGCGGAAGCCGTGTTTGTAATTCAACCTAGGTTTAATGTAGTCAAGGGCAAACTCCAGTTAACCCTAGGTGAGCGCCGTCCCCGCCCGGACAGACCCTCAACACTACACCTCATGATCACAGATTGGATGGATGCTCTTGAGGAGCAGGACTATCTCATTCCCTGCGAGATTGAATTTCTGCTCGCGATTAGGGCGTCAGTCGGTGCACTTCTATCATGTCAACCCCCATTTTCAAGGGAAGCCCTCGGCAGGCATACCTATTATCTTCCGTAGGCTACGAATTTGATTCGCAGTCGGAGCCTCCACAAGGATAGAATGGCAGCAAATTTCCTTGAGAAGGCGAAATATGGTTCTATAGTCGGTTGTCGCACTGATTCATAATGAAACACCGTAGGAGATGCTGCAGGATGGAATATAGGGGTCCAAGGCAAGTGCCCGTGCACGATTCGTGGCCCAGTCAAGTGGATACCACATAGAAGCTAGGATTCCGATTGGCTACGTCGCCTAGTATAAACAGCCGTATAGGTTGGTCCCTTCACACTCACTTTAGCGCGGCGTTTCTATGCTTATCAATCCAACTGCTTAGAAATCTACCCATATAGAGTTATCTAGAGCTTATCATCAGAACAATATGTACAACATTCACGGCAATCGAGTCATCCCGTTGGTCAGCTAGTCCACGCGGCGCACTGCTTCTACCGGAGTCTCCTGTTCCTGTCACTACTTGGACTCGATCCGCAGCAAAAGGACTACATCAACTGCTAACGCAGCGGTTCGCTCTGAGGTATATAAGTATGCTTCTTCTCCCATTCTCCCTTCTCCATGAGCTATTAGCCCAGTCACCAGACTCAATCGCATCCAGATACATTCTCAACAAACCTTCATATCCAAAACCACCCCCTCATAATGACAACCACAGTCCTGATCACCGGCGCCAACCGCGGCCTCGGCCAGGGCCTGCTCAAGCTCTTCCTCCAGAAACCCAACCACGTTCGTCCTCACCCCTTCACCCACTTGATCCCCACCCCCTTCCAACACCACCACACTCACACCCAAACCAGACAATCATCGCAGCAGTCCGCAACCCCGACCACCCGACCGCCCAAGCCCTCCCCACCCTCCCGCGGGACCCAACCACCCACCTCATCATAACCCCCTACGACGCCAGCCTCGGCTCCTCCGCCCAAACCGCCGTCCAGAACCTCACGCGCACACACGGGATCACCCACCTCGACATCGTGGTCGCCAACGCAGGCATCGCCAAATCCTACCCGCTCGTCAAGGACGTCCAACTGCCCGAAATCCGCGAGCATGTCGAGACCAACGTCCTGAGCGTGGTGGCGCTCTACCAGGCGACGCGGGACTTACTGGAGAAGTCCACGTCCACATCCACGTCCAAGCCGGTGTTTGCGATCATGGGGTCAGGGGCTGGGGCTTTGGGGTACGTTACTCTTTTTTCTCGTGCAGAGGGCTAGGATGTTGCATTGACTGACCGTGGTGTAGCCGCCAGCCGCCCGTCCCCAGCGCGGTGTACGGCGCCTCCAAGGCGATGGTGAACTGGTACGGGGTGCGCATCAACGCCGAGGACGCGTGGCTCAACGCCTTCGTGCTGGATCCGGGCTGGGTGCAGACGGATATGGGCAATGCGGCGGCGCAGGGGTGGGGGATGGAGGCCGCGCCGACGAGCGTTGAGGAGTCGGTGGGGGGGATGGTTGAGGTTCTGACCACTGGGACGAAGGAGCGGGTGGGTGGGAAGGTGGTGCTGTATACTGGCGAGGTGCAGCAGTGGTAGTTTTGATTTGACTGGTTGGAAGGGTCGCGTGGCATTTTAAGGCCGCGTTTTTTCTTTCTCTGTGTTTTCGTTCTTTCTTGGGGGCTCAGGATGGTGGGGTCGAGCGTGATTACGCTGAGTGGGTAGGGAATTGTTTTCTCAATGCATCAGCTTGGGGAATAGACATTGCCTGCAAGACATACACTAACAAAAGATAGAAAAGGTAGGACAATATTTCCCCGGTCGGAGACTTAGCACACGTCCCAAGTCAGGCGGGGGATTTAGTAAGTGACTGAGCTAGAGCTGACCCGGAACCATGTTTTCAATGTAAGCCCTAAAAGACCCAACGCCGCGATGGGCTGCCGTAGCGCGGCACTACTGAAAGGCCCTGTCTGAGACGCGTCGGTCAGCAAACCTCCTGTTGTATAACTGGCGTTGCTGTTTCCGCCTGGATGAGCTCGAGCTTATAGTCAATGGGGCTGTGCTTAATCAACTCTGCAGTCTGTGGCATACACGATATAAGTCTGTCCCTTAGTATCGTCCGGCTCCTCTATGGAGGCCGTCAACCGACTCAGGCCATCCAGCACGTCTTTGCGCAACTTCTCGTCGCCGGATTCGACCAGCTTGCGGACTTCTTGGGCCAAGGCTTCTATGTTGGATCTGGTCGAGGGACTATTGTGCGATAGGCTCTGGGAAAGAATCATGAAACAAACGACAACGAAGACAACAGGGCGAAGGCAGCTTTTGAACGGACAAACGGATACTCTGGCTAAGTTCTGACATCAGGCTGGAGCTGAAGTTGAAGCTGAACCTGGCTGAATCTGACCGAAGCTCAAGCTAAAGTCTGACCAGCGATGCTAGACTCCATGATAGCGACCAACGAAGTTGCCGCGAGTTCTCCGAACTCCACTAAGGGTCTGTATTAGTGCTGCCTCCGCTTCGCCTTCCCCCCACAGTGTGGTGTGAGACAGGCGATAAGCACAAGGACTGGCGGCGCCTGCGAAGAAACCCGAAAGACTCGAACTAAACCGGAAGAAGTACTTCGAGATGCCATGATAAATGAAGCTGACCGTTGAGAATTCAACCTCTACTACAAATTCCCGGCTGGAAGGACATCTACCGCGAGGACCCCCTCTCACCCGCAGCACAAACATATCACCAACCCACCCCACCAACCCTAATCCCCTACCCCTAATCTTTCCACTAAGCCCACACCCCCAAAACCCTCTCCATGAATTCAGTCTCCCCCGGATTCTCCTGCCGCCACGCGTGGACAAACACCTGCCGTCCATAGTACGACAGCCGCCCATTGATGGCCCGCACCTCGTCCGGCCGGGCCAGGATGTACCGGACCACCCGCTCATACAGCAGGTTGAACCACGGGTGGTGGACCCCGTACCGGACGCACCGCACGAAGTAGAAGTGGTAGCAGGCGACGCCCGCCACGACCTCGGCCTGGAACGGCGTGGGCGGCTCGTGCTGCTGCCCCTCACAGTGGCATTTGACCAGGACCAGCTGCTGTTGCCGGGGGCGGGGCCGTGAGTCGGGCGCGGTGATGAAAAAGAGCTCGAGTTCGGCGGGCCGTTGGGGGAGGATGCGGGGGGTGCGGAGTCTATTGGGATGAGCGGTTGGAGGATGGTCGGTTAGCTCTTGCAGTTTTTATGGACAATGGAATTTTTCTTTACTGGGGAGAAACCTACCTGTCTGAATCCTCCAAAGCCTTCAGGAACCGATCCCGCCCGCATTCGATCCACAGCTCAAGTGAGGTGAAGCCGTAGCCGAGTCGGAATATGATTCGGTTCGAGACGAGAGTGTCGGCGATGCTGTCGATGGCTTCGTCGAGCTCCTTGGCCCAGGCCCCGGTGGCTTGCTGGTGGAGCTGGGGCACTTCCCATGGCTCATACTTCATGGTGCGTGTGTATTATCTTAAAGGAGGTATAGCTCGGGCTAGCTTGGGGGATTGCGGAAGCAGAAAGATAGCGTCTTACGGAAAGGGCATCTGGCAGCATCAGAGTCATGGGGATCCGTGAGGTCGACCTGTCTCTAAAATAACTGCTCCTGCTGGGAGCTTCGTGGATTGTCGTGCCTCCGAAGAAATTGTTACCTCACGCCTCATACAAACGACTGCTCACATTGCAGAAGGTGATTACGTCTGCTACAAACACCACAACGCCCCCCTATCCGTGTCATCCGACTCGATCGACAGCGCCGTTTGTTCATCGGGAGGTCGCATATTCCCATGACTTGACACGGACTGTGGGAATCGACTGGTTCGGCAGCGTATATGGACTCAGGCAAGTAGCCACGTCACCCTTGACTCATTTTGGTGTCTCAGGCTACGTGTGTTGTCTCAACATGGTTGATCCTTGGAGAAGGTGAGGAGCGGGAAAAGTGAAGAGATTGTAGGGTGCGTTAGGGTCACATGACCCTGTTTGGCCCTGTCACTGGCCTAGATATTCAGATTTGAACGGATGATCAGACTCCCGTATGTTGATCTGGGGTTATTTCACTTGCATTGAACAAGCTCGAGTGGAAGACCGGCTCTCTCTTTTGTAAGAGAGGGCAGTTTTCAGAATCTGAATAATGCTATCGTGGATTGTTGACGGCTGAGAGCCGGTTGTTAGCCAGTCCAAAAAAGAGTTCGGCTTTTGTGCTCTAACTCTCACAGCCCTATACAGGTCCGAGACGCTTGGTACGTATAGTCACATGGGTGACAACGTGCGGTACACGCCATGCCTCGCTCTGTCAGTCAGTCCCGTGACCACGTGACCCGCCCTCCACCCAGGCTGGATCGGATCATAGCGGAAGTAGGCTTGGCGCAGACGGCGTCGATTTCGGGAGGCGGAGATGATCGCATCGACAAACCGAAAGTGTAAAATCGATAGTATCGACAAAGTTCAATGCAATATCTATAGTCACAGATGCACCACTATACCAGTGACATCTGTCCAACAAAGTATTATACAAAATCATGCAGGTATATGCAACACGGAAACCCAAAATATACAACGCCCGTTCGCTCAGGCATTATTCGCACAGGAGAAACTCGAGCTATTGGCGTCTTCGTGTAACGAGCGTCCCGAGACGTACAGTCCAAGACCACACTGGCACAGACTGTTAGAAGATTACCTTGGAGAAGAAGTCAAGCAGCACTTACCACGCAAGCGGCGATACCCACGATCAACGCATTGAGAATGGTCAACGCGATCTTTCTCGGGGAGGAGAATAGTCGGTCTTTGTTGAGGTACAGCCAGAACATGCCGCTGAAACCAACTATGGGTTGGTTAGTATTAGGTTTGTGGGGTGAGGGTGGAGTAGATATGCTTACAAGTGAACCAACTGGCAAAAAGGGAAGCCTGCAGATATCAGTCAGCGAGGAACATGTCGACCTCAAAAAGGTGTGAACCTACAATCAAACTGAGGAGATCGTTGAAGACAGGAATGGCCTCGGCGATAATCCATGCCACGATCCACAGGACCAGCATGAGGACCACCCAGGAGCCGGTGGCCACGAGATCGCGGCTGTGCATGCGGTCGCTGTTGCGGAAGATTCGCACGTACACGAACTTACAGGCCACATGGCCGTTGACGACTCCGCCGATGATAATCTATAAAGGTCAGCGATGGCTGAGTAGACACAAAGGAACGACCATGACGTACCGTCGGCAGAGCGATGCCATAGGCGATCTTAGCGATCATCGGGCCGGCTGAACCGAGCGCCGGGGAGGTGACGTTGGGTCCGGCAAAGACGTAGATCACCACAGCGGTGACGATGTAGAGAACCGTATCGATGCCCTGCAGCAGACACAGCGATTTAGGATAATCGCGCGGATCCTTGAGTTCGGACATGAAACCGAAGAAAGCCACATGGCCCGCTGTGGAATTGTAAGCGAAAGTCTTCATTAGAGTGGTGTCAAGACATACAGAAAGAGAAGACAATGTTGCACACGGCCAGGAAAGCCTTGTACAGACTGGTGTCCACGGTGACTTCGAGCGCACCCTTGTAGGGACGCTGGATGCCAACAGCGATCATGACGATCATGACAGCAGAAAAGACGCTAATGAATGCTGTCCAAGTGTCAGAACATGACAATCAATATGATAGTTGAACACTTACAAGCCACCGACAGGTAGGACACATTGGCTGAGGTTCGGGGCAGAGCCAAGAAGAAAGAGATGACCACGCCGACAACACCAAACACGATCGTGCACGTGCCGTGCTCGGTGATCGTGTTCATGGCCACGGTGAAGGTCAAGATATGGCTGGCCATGATGAAGACAACGAGGAGCAGTTGGCCGGTGCCGAAGAACTCACGGCCGAAACTGCCGAAAAGAACCTCGCCGGCATCGGCCATGTTTTGGATGTGCGGGTAGGCCCATCTGAACTGACCGATGGTATAGCCGGTGTAGGTGGCCAAGAGACCCAGTCCCAGCAGAAGGATGATAGCGCTAGAATGGTCAGTCTGTTGTTCAGAACATTACAAGGCAATGATACATACGGGACGAGACCCAAGACACCGACGACGGCGGGTAGCGACAGGATGCCTAAGGACACGGTTTCGGCCACCATGACTATCAAATTAGTATCTAGCGGATCATCGTGGCAGTAAGCGCGACTCACGGAAACCACATTGCCTGGGAGCAGCCAGTCAGCTGGATTACACTGGAATTGGAACAACAGAGGAGACAATGGCGAACATACCACCAGCTGAGGACCTTGTACTTGACCTCGGCATACTCCTCATCACCAAAGGTGTCCTGATAGATGGGACTGCCCTTGCGATCCTCCTGCTTCTCCTCCTTGTCGTGCAGGGCGACATCATACTGGGGCGCATGATCCAATTCAGCAGCGCCATGGCCGTCCACGGCCATGCTCATGGGTTGCGACATCCTAGTATGATGGACGAGGGGGGAGAGGGGAGAGGGAAGGGAGGGGAGGGGAGCAAGTCTCAACTCTCTCCTCTCTTCAAAGTTCAAGCTCTCCGACACAGCCGAGGTGAGGAGGAATTAAGGATGAAAGAAAAACCGGAAGAACTGGGGAAGAGTGCAGAATTTTTCCGAAAGCGGCAAGGCGGGATCGTCCGAGAGAGGATTGAATCCACCGAACTCCCCGATCACACGAAGAAGAATTAAGGTACAGGTAGGAGTAAGGTAGCTGGCAGCTACTAGCTTTTTCCAGCCAGGCGAATTGAAGTGAGGGAATGGAGAGATAAACAAAACAAAAAGGCGTGCTTGGAGGAAAGTGGCAGGTGTGGCCTTCTGAGTCACTGGCGTTCGCCCACCCTCAATATTGCCTCATGGGCATTCAATCTCTGCTGGCCCGGCCAGGTTACATCTAGAATTCCCTCCTGGCCAATCGTGGTCTTTCATTACCTAATGTCCGCCCCGCCCTGGTGGATGCTCTCCGCTCGCGGCTGTGGCTTCTCCGCCAATGAGAGTGGGCGGCGGGAAACTTGCGGGGCCTTTCCCGCTCGGCGAGCTTAAAATTTCTGCTCCCGAAGAGGCAAGGTCTTCCGACCGCTCTTCGTCAGCCGCTTCCGCGCCAAGAGCCACGCCCCCTCCTCGCTTATCATCATCTTGCCTCTTTCGGGGCGCAACCACGATCTGCTCCTTCTGTCACTGGTGATGATCGGCAGCTGAGGGGCACATCTGACACCCTGCGCCAACCTTGGAATTGTATATCCGGTTCCTGACCCGGTAGTCTGGCGGGCTGCCACCCATGACTCGCTGATGACGAGAGGAGTTCGTCTCAGGTCGGCTTAGTGTGCCAGCTTCGTCGCTTGTTTCAGGGCTCAATCGCTTCAGGGTCCTTTAAGGACACCGGGCTCGATTACTTGAATGTTCATGACCTATCAAGTTTGTCCATAAGTAGATGGTTACCATAACGAAAAACATGGTTGCTCGCGATCATCCTTTCTGGTCGCTCGGCATTATATTCACTGCAGGTGTGTTTCTAAAAAGGTTCTGAAGTTGAGGACGAAGGGCATTGCAGTTAGAAGATCAGATCCAGGCGATTTGGGTTGAGCTCTTCGAGGATATGGAACCCTCGTGATTTGTTCACACAGAACAAAAAGGATGCTTGTGAGATCCGGGATAAACATACGCAAAGAATGGGTAATTTAGCTGGCATCAAAAATTGCGGTATACCTCCGCACGTCGGAGATCGCCGAACTAAGTACTGCACGAACTGCCCAGCCTGTACATACTTTTCAAGCCAATCTCTTGATTTTGCCGGGTTGTTGAGAGATTTACGGATGTGAGAACCAACTGACACTTGAGAAAAGTATATAGCTGTATCACGTGATCCGATAACCCCAGAGCGCCAATATATCTATGACATTTTATGGCTGATGTGATGGGCGCACTGACTATCTGGTCAATAATCACCCATAGCCGAGCATTTTGAATTGAGGTTCGGCTATCGTATCGAAATCTGAATGATGTTCACAGGAGAAAACGATAGAGTTAGACTCGGACTTTCAAAGCTTCCTCGAATTCGACAAAAGACGAAAACAGGTCGTTAGCCATGCTGCCATCTGTGCTCATTTGATAGAACTCAGGACGTCAGTGGGCGAAGTTCCATTCTGTGCAAGAAGGCATTTTGTTGGTAGGCTTATCTTCACATTTGCCGAATTGAGCGTCTTCAGGGGTGAAGCGTGTGATCTACCGCTGGAAGAATGAAGCTAACCACACCTAAGAACGGATGGATGGATAAGACCGATCATTGATCCTATTGAGGCTGCTAGTCAGAACATGAGGTTGAAGAAAAAGAGAGAACGGGAGGGGAAGAGAGGATGCAGAAGGAAAGGGGACCTATCGCCTTTCATATACGGAAGGCGTAATCCTTCCCCGAGCCTTCGTCCCTGCTCCGTCAGGGGAAACGGTGGATGAACCATGCTTGCTTAATTGGCGAAGCAATCAAGCGGATTTGAAAACACGACACAAGTCACGTGGTAGCCTATCAAAGGGTCTGCTGCGACAGTCTTGTCTATCCTATACATTATAGTAATAACCTTGTTTATCCAAGAGACTGAACGTGGCTTCCACAGTATGTATATGGAAGCCACGAACAAGCAAGGCAGGCTGGGCGGGTGCTTTAGTTCCTGCATATAAGGCAGTATCGGGTGTGATGTGAGGTCAAGTTGGGTTGGTTTCATTGTTAAGGGAGGGAGTCCGGTACCATACCTCAATGCAACCCATTGTCTTACCCCGGAACAGGTCTAGATCCGTGCTTGCCTCAGCCTTACATATGCCCGAATGACCCTATATCTCATTACACGGTAGAATCAATCTCAACAGTCTTCAAATGCTCAACAGCTGCAAAAGCAGAAATATCAGGCAACACCTTAACTATAAATAGCGTAAGCGCCCCCAATGTTTCAGGGACCCCGCGTTACGTCATCCAGCCCCGCCTTTAAAAGCCACGCAATCCCCCGTAAGGAACCCTGAATACCCCAACAATCATCTCAATTGACTTTTCATCATCACTACTGTCTGGCCTGGATATCTATCAATTTCCATCTACATTGCACATACCTCAATCATCATGCCCGATTTCGGCCACAAGATTCTCAACAAGCTGGGTCTTCACGACCACCACGACCAACAGCAGCAGCAGCAGCAGCAATATGACCAACAGCAATACGGCCAGTACAACCAGCAGCAATATGATCAGCAGCAATACGGCCAATATAACCAGCCACAATACGGCCAGTATAATCAGCAGCAATACCAATACAACCAACAACAATATGGCCAGCAGCAGCAGCAGCAGCCTATGGGCTACCCAGGTCAAGGCCACGGCCACCCCCGCCCCAACCGCCACGTCCACCACGACGAGCGCGCTCTCTCCAACGGCAACGGGGGTACCTACCCCCGTCTAGCCCGCCTCTCCGACGGCTCCCTCCTCTCCTCCTTCACTCGCTTCCCTGGCGACGGCCAACGCGCCCTCGTTGTCGCCCGCAGCACTGACGGCCATAACTTCGAAGACATCGGCGAGGTCACACGCGGCACGGGCGACACCGACAACCTGTTTCTCCTGGAGGTGGCCCCCTCCGTCGTACTGGGGGCTTTTCGGAACCACGACCACGACCCCTCGGGCCGGCCCACCCACTTCCGCATCACGGTCTGCCGCTCGCACGACGGCGGCCACACCTGGCAGTTCGCCTCGCAGGCGGCCGAGAAACCCGGGGGAGATGGGTTGGGAGTCTGGGAGCCGTTCATGCGCATGGGAGCTGCGGGCGAGGTGCAGCTCACCTACTCGCAGGAGATGGCGCACAACAACCAGTGCACGATGCTGGTGACGTCGACGGACCAGGGCAGCACCTGGTCCGAGCCCCGGTGCCTGCACGGGAAGGATGACAAGCGGCGCGACGGGATGAACGGGATTGCGCGGACGCACGATGGCGACCGCGAGGCGCTGGTGATGGTGTTCGAGACCAATACCCGAGGCCCCATGCAGATCGAGGGGCTGATCTCGTACGACGACGGGCGGAGCTGGGGCAACCGCCATATTGTTTACTCGCCGCGGGACGGCCACCGGCATAACGCGGGCGCGCCGCAAATTGCCTCGTTCGCGGACGGGTCGCTGGCCGTCGTCTTCATGACGGATGAGGACCATCAGGAGGTCGACTGGACCAAGAATGCGTGCATCAAGGCGGTGTTCGGGCCGCCACCGGCCAATGGCCAGATCCAGTGGGATCACTCCGCTACGACCATCTGTGGGGAGTCGAGCCATTGGCCTGGGGTGTTCGGGTTGGATGGCCACACGGTTTTGGCGACGTATGAGTGTCGGGGGCCGAAGGCGAGAGCCATCTCGTTGCAGTGAAGGTCTGTGTGCTCCTCTCGGCCATCCCCACTTATGTTTCGGTAACGCTAGATTGCCCGCTGTTTCGGTATATCGGGTCATTAGTAAGAATGCACTGGTTTCGATGCACCGCAAAGCTTAATCAAAGTTAAGCTTGCCAATTGAGCACATTAGAAGATCTAAAGTCTGCGAAGTGGTAGGCCCAGGACATGGTTGTAGACAAGAGAAGCCAGATCCTCAAATCGGCACTATTGGACTAGTAGAAGCAAAGCCACCAGTACTTAGAGATCGTCTTGTAGGCCACCAGCCTAACCGAGTGAAACAACCAAGAGCAGTAGAATTAGCAAAATGACACCTGTGATTGTGACAGATTCGTCATGCTGATCATCATTTGAGCGCCTACGCAGAAAGGCTGGAAGCTTTGGTGATTTGGAAGAGACTCCACGTGGTAGTGACTGCTGATAACCATCAGCATGTAGCTAGTTATGTATCTTATATGTACCGCGTATCTACAGGCCAGTTGGGGTAATGAGCTGACCGGTCAAGTGTTCATCAGAAGTCGCCATCAAGTCCTTGGACATCACGGTTGAGACAGTAGCAGTGGCAGCTCTGGATCCCGCCCTCCCGCGAGAGTCAGAACACTGTTCCTAAGAGGCGCCTTCAAATTGGCCTCTACCAGGAAGCGCTTGAGCCACGGTGTCTCCAGCAACGTCGATTTTATGGCAACCTTGATCATTTCTTCGGTCAAGAGGCTCTTCTCCACAGCGTGACGCAGTATTAAGCGGACACCACTCTCATACTTGATGGCTGTGATCACTTTTTCGTTGATCGGAAACTGAGGAACATGTCGGATCATATCCCACAGGCAATTATGATTGCGAGCCACGGTCTGCTCGAGCACCCACTCATCCACCACAAGGATGTCATGTTTGAGAAGGAGCTGAAAGGTAGATAGCGTTCCTAAGGTCCAGCAATTGCTCATCGCCATAATCAAGTCCTTAACCGGTACGCTGTTGCCGTTTCGATCTAAGAGCACTCTCATATGATCAGGCCTGTTGTACGCTGCCATAAAGACGCTATCAGGCACCTGAGCTCCTTTAAACATCTCTATGATAGCTTGAAAGTCATCTCCGTTAGACTTAGCTGGGTTCCCTGCGGCGGCCTCCAGAAGATTCAAAGGTATTTCGTAATCTGGGCCAACAAACAGTAGTAGAACTCGCAACACAGACAGGCCATAGTCTCTATTGTTTGCGGCGGCGAACAACAGTTCTTGACAGATTGTGATCTCAGAGCCTCCATTGTTCATAAGCAATTGCATCACCTCCTTGGTATTTCTTGAAGCTGCCTCAAAAAGTACCTTTTCTGAAACAGCGAAGCCTGCCTGCTGTCTTTCCAAGAATGCCTCAAGAATGGCTATGCCTCGGAAGGTATTGGTGACGGCAGCAATCATGATGTCTTGGTCAATCTCGGTTTGTGGGCCCCATAAGTCCAACACGAAACGCAGAAACTCGAGCCCTTCTATCTTCCATTCTGTGGCAGCCGCTAGAATCAATTCATGGCGTAAACTGGCGTTCAATTCCTTGCCAGATAAGAGGAGCCGGATCAGGTCTCGGGCACCAGGATTGACAGACGCCGCAAGGAGAACATTACGTTGCGACATGAAATTTTCTCCATACACTTCAAAAACCAGCTTCAAGACCTCACTTGAGGCTCCTCTTGCAAAAGTCTCAGCATGTTCGGGCAGCAGGCAAGCGATTTGGCTGTTATTGTTCAGCACAAGGCTCGCCAACTCGGAATTGAACTGCGACAATTCTGCCACCTGGCGCATAATTCCTTGTGTAAAATGTACCTCCTCTTTCCGTCGCTGGAGCAGGACTTTCAGAATACTAACCCTGAGATCAACATTGTCAAAGGCGGCCTGAACAAGCTCTGCCGTTACCGGAGTTGTGCTTTGACCGCCACGCTCGAAGCAGATGTCCAGCAGCACGTCCGCGCATATGGGGTTTTTTGCCATACTCAAAAGGATGGCTGGATGAATTCTCTCGCTCTCTTCACCGCCGTATAGCGCGCCCATGTTCCAGAGTAGATCGAGGACAAGGCTTAATGTTGCTCGATCTTTCTCAGATCGAGGTCGAAGCTCACGAATAATCTCCTCCACCTCAAGAAATGGCACTGCGATAGCACGTTTCAAGAGCAAAACAAGAGTATTTATACTGGATCTGGCTGCAACAGCCAGTAGGCTTTCTCTCGATTGAAGTGGGAAACCCATCGAGTCGAATCTCAATTCTAGTAGTAGTTCGACTAAGGTTTCAAATTGCATGGCGATGGCCTTATCCGTTGGTCTTGGCCAGTCGGATACCATAAAACTGTTGAAGTGAGAATAGCCCATACCAGTCAAGCGATGCCAGTTCAGATAGACCACGCGTTCCGTAAATAGTTCGAGAAGCATCAGATAAATCTCTGGTATTGAATCGGGTGTTAGGCTATCTAGCTGACGAAAGTGATCGGGCCAGTTCTTGGAACCGTAAAGCAGCAGTGGTTTTCTCACAGCAACGTCGTAGGTCAGTTCTATCTTCTCTGCGAGGATACGCGACAGAATTTGGCTCAAGATGGTGCGATGACCAAGCATCTCCGATAGATGGCACCAATGAGTTGATTGCTCAGAAAGAAGAAATTCTTTCACGGAAAAATGAGCAAGTCTGATAGTCCCGTCCGCTGTGTTCAAGGTAACCATCTGAGTCGTACAGATCTCGATAACGCTGTCGGATGATGGGAAGCCGGCTACTTCTGCTACAGCTTCCTGACTTAGGGGCTTCATGGAGAAAGTGAGCCAAGTGAAAATGGATCGTACTGCATCGCGGTACCTTGGTAGAATCTCCTGCTCAAGGATGCCTTTGTACGTCGCCTCAAGAGTGTCAGGAATGGTTGTAAGCGCTTCATCAATGTCTTGGGGAATGTGACATCTTTCTAGGCGCTTTATCTGCAGATCAACCCAGCGAAAGCGCCTACCTCATAGTTAGCACGGAGAGGGACTGTAACATGCACCCATGACTTGCCTTTCTGAAACGTTCAGCAGCTGATGTTCTATCCTCTCAAGGATAGAGCGGTTCCATCTACGCAACTTTCCACTGGTTAGCCTCTCTTGCACAAATTTCTCGACGTCTCCGCTCAGTGCATCCTCCAGTCCAAATAAGGTGTGTTGCGTAAGAGCGTTATGAATGTCAGGTTCCGGTCTGCTTGTGGCAAGCAAGTGAACTTTGGTAGGAAAATCTCTTATCAGATCATCCATGAAAGCCAAGAGGCGCCTTTCTCGAGTCTCAACCGGGCATTCGTCGAGGGCATCGAAGATGATGAATACGTCTCCAGGCAGCAAACCCATAATGTCCCTGAGAATTGTCAAAAGTACGTCCAAGTCCGGCTCTCGGTTCCTCCGATGATCTTCCCAGATTTTTCTGATCGGGCTGGGAATAGGCCGGGGACACAATTGCCGTATAAAAGATCGAATCATACTCTCCATGCCTTGCGTTTCGTTGTCACTGAATTTGAAGTACCAGTATGCTAGAACACACGGCTCATTTTGTTGGCAATGCAGGTCAGTGTCTGCAATAATGGTGGAGCATAGGACTGATTTGCCGCAACCCACAGGGCCATGCATCCACAGCAGTTGTCCCGGTGTGGTCTTCCAGCGTTGATAGCGGTCGCTCGACTGCACAAACCATGTTCCCGTATCGGGCGAACGAGCCTTCTTGGTCTCGTTTTGGATGTTGGAATAGGAGAAAGTTGAGATCCAGTCGAGGATGCTGCGTTCCTCCTGATCATTGGTCCGAACATCGATACTGTGCACCCGCCTGGCCATCTCGTCAATCCGCACCAAGATATCCTCGGCACGGCGACTCTGATCCTCATCTCTCACGATCATTTTCCATTGATCCACGACGGCGCTTTTCTGCTCCACCACCGACTTGAGCCGGTCGAGCGGCTGGTCGATCAGAGCAGTTATACTCTTCCCCACTCGAGCAATGGCACTCTCATGTCTCGCAGTCTGGACCTCTGCGATATACCGAAGAAGCGCAACATAGACCTCCACCAGAGCATCGTCCAACCTTGCCGAACTGGCAATGGTCCCCTTCCGGTAGTTGTGCTCGATGATACTATGGTATGCGAGAGCCTTGGCGAGGAACTCCGATGCATCCATGATCGCATCCCGCCGATCGATGTCGTTCTTGATCAGCGTGAGCCCAAAGGCAACGACTGACCAAGCGATCGAGGCGTAGCCGGTAGGATCGAACCCGGCCACCGCTTTGATGAGGTCCTGGGCCTGTAGCGCGCAGACGAGGACCTTTTTGGCCGAGCCTCGAACATCGACTTTCCTGTTGCTGGCATCGCGGTTCCGGATGCTCAACTTGCCGTTTTGGTAGTCTTCGTATTTGGCGCTGATTTCTTTGATGATCTCCGCCAGCACTCCATCGATTGAGGGGGAGTTGCCGTCCTGGCTCAATCGCAGCCGTTTGCGGCTTTCTTCGTCCAGTTGTTCTTCTGCTCGTTTCCAGAGGTCATCTTTTTTCACCGCTACTAGTGAAGCTTGCTGGGGTGGGACAGTGGTTTGAAAGGGAGAACGCTTGATTTGTGATGGTTTGGAAACCGAATGGGAGGAGGAGGAGGTGGACGGGGAGAGAAGATTCACCGGCCGCGGAGGGGCAGCGGCCGCGTCGGCTGCGTTCCTGCCGTTCTTGTCCCCGCAACAGCCCCAGTCAAAGGGCATCGCAACTGCCAGTCCGTGAATGCGATATCGACAGTGAATGTTGATAATAACCTGAACCCTGAAGAAGTCAATGTGAATGCGAAGCAGATAAAAAGGAGATGCTTTTTTCCTCTTTATGTCTCCTTCAATATTCCACCAGCCTTGCTCTAAGCGCTCTGACACAGCCGCCACTAATTTAGTCTACTAGGCAACTAACTTGACTTTAGTTAGTTGGCTTTTCTGCTGAGATAATCTAGACCTATATAACTGATTAACACACCATTTTCTAAGATTTCATGTTCTAGCTTGGTCTAGCTTTTACGTTTTACAGCAACTAGAATCGTTAGTAAATCTCTATGTATAGTCTCACAACATGTGCAGTAGTTTTTCGGTCGTGTGTTATAGAAGGACGTTATAGTAGTATCAACATAGGCTTCAATTCTCAGGAAGTTTCTTTCATTGCCGGATATTGCATTCCAGGAATATGTAATGATTGGCAAGGGGTAATCGCTGATAATGCTAAGATATGATGGAAAGCAAGCTTTATGACCGAAATGTCCCGGGATTGGTTTATACTGTCAACACTGATTCCAATCATTAAAGTCTAGTATTTTTGTAGAGGCTTTCATCATTTTCTACAGTGAATAACCCAGGATTTTTTATATCTGGTTCGCTGGAAGCTTGGTCAGTAACACTCTTGATTACTTACCTGCTCAGCAATGTCTAGTATTGTTCGCGAGCGAGAAAAGGAAGCCTACTTGAACGAGTGATTCTCGGATTATCTGTAATATTGGAATGATAACAAATTAGGTATGATGCTAGATAGACCACATAGGTGCTGCTGATTGGCTAGAGTCATACCGTGGCGCGGAAGTCAAGGGGCTGAGGTCACATGGTAGATGATATATTTAGATCTAGGCCTAGTTGTTCTACGGTTTGTCTGGTTTGTCCAAGTTTACCATAAGGCTCTCAAGGGGTTTTAGTGCAATGCCTGATAACTTGTAACTTACTTATCTTACCGATTATGACCAAAGTACCGTGTATGGAGCGGGTATTGCGTCTGGCAAGAGCTTTGTACTGTATATACAGAAGATTATAACTTTTGGTGCCGCCTGCTCAAATTAATAAGGCTAGCATCTAAGCAGTGATTTGGAAACGATAATAATGGGTTCTTGGTCAAGAGGATTCCAAGATTTACTATTCTATACATGTAAAATATAGGTGGAGGTATACAATATCTTCTATCGCTGTTTAAAAACATAATAATTCTAGAAAGATTAAAATTTAAATGCAGATCTCAAAAGCTTTGTTTTCCACCTGATATGGAACCAAAATCCACTCTAGTTGATACATGCTTATGATTAGTCTATATCCACAAGAGGTTTGAAGCCGAATCCGCTCCATCGCCTGCCCAGAAAGCCTTTTAACCAATATTACCTGCAGCTAAAAGACTACAGTTATTGGTGGTCATATTCCTCATCTGCTTTTCTGAGTGTATGTATAGTTAGCTCATTTTACGTACTGCATTCCATGCACCTTTCTGTGCGATTAATAGTCACCATACTTGACTCTTTGAGTAGAACATCTAGAATCTTCTCATTTTGTGCCCTTTCATATCACGATAGTTTGAGAGATGCTACGATTCAGTTCATTATGTCCCAATCCGTACCTCTCCAGAAAGCCGCTGTGTATATTATACATGTCACTGCCGCTGGATTGCTGAAACAGTCCTGGACAAGACCGAAGTAAGTGCTTTAGGGCCTTTTGCGACCCAGCTGAGCCTGTCTCAGAGGCCCCGGCATTGTTCCCTTCAGCAGCGTGCCGTTTCTTGCTAGGATACTTGTCCTCTATTTCACCGCACCTTTTGTGGGATGTTTACCCATTGTTCTTGGATGAGTCATGCCTGTAATGTTGTCATACACCCGTACATACCTGCATGGGAATGTGGCGGCTGCGTGGGTATCTTTACAGGCGAGTCTGGCCAAGTTAGTCACTGCAAAGCTGCCCAACTTTAGTGGCTAACAGACTGCTGGTCCAGCCCATGGGGAATTCTCTTCCACAAACTTCCCACAGTAGCCAGGTTGATAATGAACTTGAGCTTGATAAATAGGGAGTCATCTCTTCCACAGGGTTTCGAGTTTTTCGTTTCTTTGTCTATGGTCGGAGCTTCTCTCCGGGGTCAATTCGTGTTTGTCCTCACAATGACATCTGTACCTATCGGCCAGGCTGAGGACGGACACTGCCCAGCCTGGCCACAGGATGAAGTTACGGATTTATCAGCCTACCTTGGAACCGATTTATTCTTTCTTCCACTCGAGGGCTATTGCGACCCAATTGTGATAGGGGATACACAAGGAGAACTTCTGGCTCCTCCGTCTATGATAATGACCGATACTGTGATGGGCGACAGCAGAGAACCTTCTTGGCCGGAACAATATCCTAATCTTGTCGCACCGAAGAACCTACTCTCGATGGAAGGCTCCGCTGAAAGCCAGCCACTTTCTGTTAATCTCATGGAAACTCCGACTTTGTCCACAGTGGGACTGGACTCACAGGTACTGCCTCTTCCAGACCTATCTCTATAGAGAATGGGCTTAGATGGATGCCTGGGTGGTGAAGCTCACACGCCAGCTGTGGTTGTTGGAGGACGGGACGATTCAGCGACATGCGCTTTGAGATTTCAGGAAGCGCCGATGCCTTCTTACGATCAGAATGTTTCCATAGTTGATGGGCTGTATTATTGCCAACATCGTGCATGCGTGACCAAGACTGGCTTTTCAACGAAGCGTGATCTGCAGTAAGCTACGCTATCACTTTCTCTGTTCATCCTGCTGACTCTTCACAGAAAGCATATGCGCATTCATTTTAAGCCAGTTAAATGTCCCATATGTACGGTTACCACGGCTCAGCAGATTCATATGCGTCGACATTTCGAAGTGCATCACGGTGGCTGGGCTCGGCAGTTGTGGCGAGTGGGCGCTGTGTGTAAGTTGTGCGGTAAATCATTCACACGGACAGACAATCTTCGCAGGCACTACCGAACTCAGCATGAAGATATCAGTAGTCTCTCTGTGTCCGATTGAGCAGTTTCTCATGTCGGGCCTTAATTTTATCGAGTTCAGTGACGGAGTTTTGAATAGTACCTTCAACCCTTCAGAATCGTAACGTCCGCAAGAAGTAGAAGTACACCCGCCTCCTGCTTGTAACCAAGACTCCAACGAAAATCTGCGCTTAAGTGTTTCAATGAGAGTAAAAACAAGGAAAAGAAAAAGGCGTGGAATACTCCAAAGTCAGAAAGGGTAAGCCAAATCAAATTGCAAGCCAAAATCCACTGCCATGTTACGTCTTGAGAGTGACCCCGCCACAGTCTGCATCATAGTCTTCATCCGACACGGGTGTCTTGAGCCCCTTTGTGCCCCAAACCTTCGCTGTGCTACGTTTAGCTGCCTCCGTTTCTAAGCTGCCGTCAGCAATCGAACATTGGAACGTATTTTTTCGAAGCTCTTCTAGATCCACGCGAGACCACCGGTCATCTGAGATTGCTGTCAGGGAATCAGGATGCCAGGGACTTGATGATGAGTGACCAAGGATATCAGCAATAACATCCCGCCGAATATCACTTGTCATCTCATTGAGGACCTTCACCTGCAAATCGTATTCTGGATCTCCCTTCGTGGGATTGTTGACTAGTGGCGGGCTCCAATTAGCCCAGACTTTGTGGTGACAATCAGGGGGGACCATTCGAGCCGGATGGTGCTTAAAGTATAGTTCACAACACAGACAGGCCGGTTTGCTACAAGCAATGTAACGGTCACTCCCCACGAAAGACAAATTCAACCTGAAGAAGTGGTCCAGAACCTGCACTTCTGCATGCACCTGCGGCGTGCAGTTGTCATACTGTTTCATGAAACCCTCAAAGATACGGGATTGAGATCGAGAATTCATGGAAAGCAAAGAACTCCTTATCTGAAGCCTTTCTGGGTCATCCTTCTTCAACATCCTGTTGAGGATACCATCAACCGTGGTTAGATTATCGGGCGCTGGCCGAGGCACTGGAGGCACACAAGCAATAGCCACCACCTGATACGAGTCAAGGACATGAGATAAATGGTCGATATCCTCAACCAGCTGCGACGGTGCACGGATGTGATGTGCCAGTCGCCCTATATAGTGGATGACTGACGCAAAAGGCGATCGTCGGTCTTGAGGGCCCACCAGCTTCTCTTCGTCTTGAGCTTTCTGTTTGATATCGTCGATGACGGCAGACTTTCTGTGCTTATATGCATAATCGCAAAGTGCCGGACAATCATCCTGTTCGAGGATAAACTCAAGCCAGTCTTTTATCTTCTGATCTACTGAGCCAATTAGCATCGTAAGAACCTGGATTTGAGCCTTTACGAACCCTTTTTGGTTTTCACGGATCCTGGTATGGGAAAACACTGTCTAATCGCTTGAAACAAGCACTGACGCTCTTTCTTTACTCGGCTGATCGCGAAACTAAGGCAGAACCTGGTAAATTCTTGCTTAAATTGTTCTTTATCAGAGTCTCCCGCAACTGTTGTCAATCGCTTCAGGTTGCTGAGAGCATTCTTCGCGAATTCGACGATTTTTTCGACAGATGCGTTGGATGAAATCCAGAATTTGTAACACGTTTCGCTGTCTTCAAGTCCAATGGCAGTGCAAGAAATACCTCCTTTGGTAAAGTCACAAACAAAAGCGAGGTTACCTAGGAATCGTCGCCGTGCTTGCTCCGAACTAGGACCCGGTGAGCCGACTGTGTGCTGCCCACGGGTCTGTCCTAGTACACGCAAAAGAAATAAAGGCTCGTAAAATCTAGCAAGGAGTCTCTTATACGCGCTCAGTCTTGGGGGCCCGACACGGACTGGGTCGATAGGCAATTGTTTGCTGGTGATATTGTTCTCGACTCTGAATGAATGCTTTGCAGATGGCATTTTGAATCGATTATAGAAAAGTGCGCGAAATATGAAAATATTCGAAGTGTTAGCTCATTAAGATGAAAGAGCAATTGATGATTACTTAGACCACCCATCAAGTTATGTGCCAGATATATACTTTTGGAAATTCGGCCACGAGGTGGGGGGATGAAGGCCATATGCGAAAGGGAGATAGGAGGGAGAAAGACAATGCAATGCGGGAGGAAGTCAATGCGGGAGGAAGTCAATGCGGGAGGAAGACAATGCGGGAGGAAGACAGTGCAGGAGGAAGTTCAAGCACACATGTTCTACTGAGATTGGGTAGCCAAGACTTCTCGCTGCCCCCGTAAACCGAGGGAGATAACCTACGCGAGCACAAGTGAAGATGCTAAAGCCTTCATTTGCGAAGCATACAACTTTGGTCGGTAGACTTGACTGTGTAGGATACAGTCGTCTCACGTTCAAAGCAAGGAGATCAACAGCACGTTTAGACAACTGGGACAAATCAAGGCACGCCTCGAATTCTGCAAATGATACGAGGCGACCAACCTCTGCACATTGGAACCGCTAAAATGACTTCTCTGTCTGTATAGTCTTCTGGGATGGATAAAAGGCACTAGGCTGGGCTGCACATTCGGTCTACGGCACTCATCCAAAGACTGGCAGCCCTTTACCTGCAGAATTTCCTGGATTGTTCTTCAATACTGAACGCAGTAGAAAATGTCTGGATTGCCTGATTCATCCTGTCTATCGACTACGGAATCTATTTATCTACTTCATCACGTTTTCCTACCCCCAAAGCTGCCACAGGAAGACGATTATGACGCTGCACATGAAACTCTCCTGCTCGATAGCGTTATTGACGCCCTTGCTCGGTTCCAGGATTATTTTCAGGGGCAGGAAAATGAAGTTTTCGTCAGTGTCAAAGTAATGCTCACTCGTTTGAGGGCGATGCGCGATTGTAATGGGGACGTGAATCACGTCGAGCTTAGAAAAGCTTTAGGAGAATTGGAATATTCAGGTATAGCCAGTTCTAACCTAGCTGACGTCCGGGATTCTATTGACAGGCATTGTATAGGAGGTGCTCTACCTGTGCATGTTCGCTGCCAGAATGCTGCGGTCTTAATGACTAGGCACAGCGATTCAATACATGTCGAGACGTTTGAACTGTGGCCTCGGAACAAAGCCGTCAACACCACGGTGGGTCGACTGCAACGCCAATTCCCTGGGCCAACCTTTGCTTTGGATCGAGCCATTTTCCAGGAGCCAAACATGCAAAACACAATTGCACACGCCCTTGAAAGCATGAGTCGTCAGCCTGCCCCGGGGACCAAGTCAAAGGTGAAGAAGGCGCGGCATAAACACGACGAGGATCGGGATACAACCAATCCAAAGTTGGTTACAGAGCTGTTCACAACATTCCTTCGCCCACAATGCAAACCCGTGGACAGTTTGCAGGTTCGTAAAAACACACGGGAAGAAGTCCTGTGGCTCGACACTCTGCATCCTTGGAGGCGTTCCGCCCTCTGGCTCCAGGTTCGAGTTACGATCCAAGTGTTCATTCGGAGGCTCTGCCAGCGCGACGGAATCTCAGTTGACCTTTACAAAGTATTCATGGTTTTTTACATGAGTTTCATTCTCCGCCGCTGTCCCGAGAGTACAAGCAGTGAACACCGGTATATCATGAGTTCCAAAATTGTGCGCCGATTACGCAAGCTTGATCTGCCGGATAATCACGATTGGATCCTGTTTGTCCAGTGTGCCCTTCGAGAAGCGAATGGCGTCCTCGAACAAAACTGGAGCCGCATCATCGCCCGTAACGCCTGCCGACCCGATATGTCCGCCTTGATTCGACTCAACTTTAAAGATGACACTGATTGCTCACTGCCCAATCTTGATGAGTGGCTTCAGAGCATCACGATCCGTCAACACTCCGTAGTGCCGCCAGATTCCCACATACAGTCTGGATTCCTGGAATTTAAGCCGGCAGAGCTCCCGTCGCTCCTCAAATCGACTGACCCCGACTATCAAGTCTACAATCTTGCTGCTTTCGAAGCGTGGGTGGACTTGAATCTTCAATCCTGGATTGAGACCCACATCGGCTATGAAGACACCTGCGAACGGCTGAGCAGTTTAGTCAATGCATATCATGATATTGCCTCCGAGTCGTACGCGTCCAACCCCGAGGCATTGTCTACCATGCTTCTCACCGTGCTGGAGCTCTGGATAGCTTGTGACAAGTCCGCCGTCCATATTCACCCGCTGCTTCGCCACCATAGCACTTGTATTCCGATACATCTATTCCAGTCTCTCCTCTTACCTCGGCTGTCCCTGCTTACCAGGTTGGCAAATGCGGAACTCTACATGCGCCAACGTCACCAAGACCTCCAGTACCCGGATTCCAATGTTCTAAACGATTTTGGAACCTCATCCTCCTTTTCTGTGCGCTACTTCAATCACTCCGCTGAACACCAACTTCTACTTGACACTATCGAACATAGAGCTAGATCTGAGAAGGCTGCAAAGGTGGTGGAGTTGCACCGCAAGCATCAGCAGTACAGGGACTATTGTGCTCGGCGGGATGAGATTTCTTGCACTTTCTACGACGAGATAGTCGACAAGCGGTTCCGCTTCATAGAGCGTCGCCATAGCCCTTCGTGCCGGAGATGCGGGTTTGACAAGGCTGCGAGAGAGATCACAATTGATGTGTACGAATGGCCTTTGTCTTCCAACCCTTTGGAGGCGAAATCTACGGTCTTCGAGTTAAACCTGCCCAGGCCGTTTGCATTCTGGCGTGATCTCACTGCTTTCATCTTGCTTGATGTACTGGGGGTCAAATATGTCTCGAAAGAACCGCCTAGAGCCGAGTACCGACCAAGCACCTATAGCGGGCTCTCTATGTTCTACACCGCGGTCGTTGATCACCCAAGGATCGGCCTTCTTTCCCAAATTAAACCCCATCGAGCAACACACAGGCGGGAAAAACACATTATCAATGTATCAGAGAGCGACGTTTGTCTCGCGAACGGGCTGCGTTTCCGTTACTTTGACAATGCCCTCCGCTGCTTTACTGACGACCTGGGCCAAACACATGCAATGGCGACCGCATGCACTTACAAGTTACCTCCATCCAGCTCGTCTCTGCAGCCATTTCTCTTCCGCCCGGCAGAGACACCGGACGGTCCATCGCCCAATACGGTCATTGCATCGCAGCATGCCTGCCCCGAAAGCATGTCGCTGGGTGAGTATAAGGCGCTCTGTTCCATGCCATTGGGCGTCCATATCCAGTGGCAGAA